GGTGTTTTTCTCACCATCTTTATACTTCTATACATTGTGCTAAACTCTTTTCTGTCCCCACGATTTATTTATATTTATATAAATAAATGAGACTATTACTGGAAATAGTCTAGTTTGGACTGTGAAATTGTTATTTTTTCCCTGATGAAGACCCTAGAAACATGTAAAAAGAATACAATGAGCAGAGATTTAGCAGTGAAGCTTCGTTATAAAACTACTCTAAGACTAGAAATGAGAATTAAACCATTCCCCAGCCCTGCCCTGTCCTCCTGCTGAGTAGAGCATTCAACATTAAAAAGAATGACAATAAAGGTATACTACAATTATAGATAAATGATATGTGCATTTAAATATTTAAAAACTGAAATAACTTTTGAGGGGGAATGGGGTTTTAGAAAGAGTTACTAAATAAGTGAGTGGAAAATTCACTTTATTATTATTATTATTATTAATGTTTTTATTTAAGTGTCTCTTTCTTTCTTTTTTTCTTTCTTTCTTTCTTTCTTTCTTTCTTTCTTTCTTTCTTTCTTTCTTTCTTTCTCTTTCTTTCTTTCCCTTCCTTCCTTCCTTCCTTCCTTCCTTCCTTTTTTCTTTCTTTCCTTCCTCCCTTCTTTCCTTCCTCCCTTCCTTCCTCCCTCTCTCTTTCTTTCTTTCTTTCTTTCTTTCTTTCTTTCTTTCTTTCTTTCTTTCTTTCTTTCTTTCTTTCTTTCTGTTTCTTTCTTTCTCTTTCTTTCTTTCTTTCCCTTCCTTCCTTCCTTCCTTCCTTCCTTTTTTCTTTCTTTCCTTCCTCCCTTCTTTCCTTCCTCCCTTCCTTCCTTCCTCCCTCCCTCCCTCTTTCTTTCTTTCTCTTTCTTTCTTTCTTTCTTTCTTTCTCTCTCTCTTTCTTTCTTTTTTTTCTTTCTACCCATGTTAGTTAACATGTAGTGTAATAATGATCAGGAATAGAATTTAGTGATTCGTCACTTCCCATATAACACTCAGTACTCATCCTAGCAAGCGTCCTCCTTGATACCCACCATCCATGTATCCCATCCACTTACCCAACACCCCTCCAGCACCTCTCAGTTTGTTCTCTGTTTTGGTTTATCTCCCTCTTTGTTTTTATGCTATTTTTGCTTCCCTTCCCCTATATTCATCTGTTTTGTGTCTTAAATTCCACATATGAGTGAATTACGTGACATTTGTCACCCAGGCGCCCCAACGTTGATCCTTTCAATCATATTTGTAAGTTTGAGAAACACATGGCATATTTGATACCAATGTTGCAAAGATTGTAGAAATGTTGATGTAATCCTTTTAATTTAGAGGTAACTGGAAAATTCTATGGAAACTTGCTATGATTTCAGGTTAAATTTTTGAAATTTTAAAATTAGTTATCCATAGTATCATATTCGACATTTTAAGATTCCAAGTGAAAGAAAATAATCATGAATATCTTAAGGTCTTTCGTGTAAATTTTCTTAACAAACCTCGATTTTCAGAGATTGTGGGTTTTTTATTGCTGCATCATAAAAGAAGTCTGGGTTTCACCAAAAATTATAATAAGATATTTACAACCTTGGATTCACCAGAAACCTTGGTTAATCAGAACAGATTATCTTTAAAAATGGCTAGGGGCACCTGGGTGGTTCACTAGGTTAACCCTCCAACTCCAGCTCAGGTCACCATCTCGGGGTTTGTGGGATCGAGTCTTGTGTCGGACTCTGTGCTGACAGCTCAGAGCCTGGAGCCAGCTATGGATTCTGTGTCTCCCCCTCTGTCTGCCCCTCCTATGCTCATGCTCATGCTCTGCCTCTCTCCCTCTCTCGCTCAAAAATAAATATATGAATAACTATATAAATATACTACAAATTAGTGATCTATTTTTTTTATTGTTAACTATTAGCATGGCTTTAATTTGAAGGTTTTATTTTATTTTTTGAAAGTAAGAAGCATTGTTTTTATTTCACTACAAATGTGTTTCTCAGTCTATTCTCCTCTTTTGATTCCCCAGAAAAATATCTCTCTTCCTTCCATTAAATAAAAAATCAATTGTTATACATTATATAAAATAACAGATAACCCCAATAACAGGTTTTTTAAAATATGAATTCTATAGTATGAAATATAAACCCAGTTTTTTTCATTCCTGTGTGTATCTACACCTTTTATTTTTTCTCTTTTTACAGTTTGTTTTTAATTATTTGTTTATTTTATTACATTATTTAGTGTACTAGTGGTTTCAGGTAAGAATTTAATGATATATTACATATACTGTTCAAACAAACTTGAATTTTAGCTATCCTGATGACAGCTGAAATTAGTCATCAGAGTATATTCCTTATATACATTTATCTAATAAATAATTTTTTGAACACATTTATGTATTTTTAGCTGTTATGATACACTCTTTTGTAAAATGTTTCTTCTGGTGTCTTGTGCCCCACCCCCTCCCAGCCCACCTGTTTTATTCCCCTCAAATAGGCTACCTGTCTTGTTCATCCTCATTTTAGGAGTTGGATAGTTTGTTGTTTTGTTTTGTTGTTTTGTCTTGTTTTACAAATTATGTTGAAAGGGTGAGTGTATTTCAAATGTAGTCTCTCTGGATATATTTCCACTTTCTTATATATTTTCATTAAAACAAATTTTCATTCTAAATAGAGTACTATTTATCAGTTAGTGTTATTATTTTTCGTACCTTGCTTAAGGAATCTTGGCTATTCCCATCATGAAGATATTATTTTACTTTACTTTAAAAACTTTATGGTTTCAGCTTTCACAGTCACATTCATAACAGATCTAAATTAATTTTTACATACGGTGTATACATTACCAAAATTCCTGTTGTATGTAGGAACCAAATTGAACTAGGGTAATTTACTGAGAAGCCCTATTTTCCCCACTACTTAGCAGCAGGGCTTTTGTTTTAAAACAAGTGGAATTATATACATGAGGATGTTGGAATTCATTTTTATTTTATTGATCTCTCTGTAAATATGTGGATTAATTACACATTTAAAAATTAATCTAGCTTTGCTAGAGGAATTGGTATCTGTTATTAGAATTCCTCTGAAATCCTCCTTCTTCTAAGATATTTCTTTGGCTATTCTAGGTCCTTTGTATTTCCACATAATTTTTTATACCAACTTAAGCATTAAAAAGTACTGTTGGGATTTGAATTGTTACTGCATTAAATCTATAGGAAAATTTAGAGAAAACTGACTACATCACAACCTTTGTATCTTCCAACCAATGGATTTGGTATATTAACATTTAAATCTCAGTAACATTTTTTGTAGTGTCTAGCAATGAAATCATGCAAACTGTTCATTAGGTTTTTCAGAAGTCTTATAAAGAGTTTTTCCAGTGTAGTTGACAGTTTAAAATTTCAATTTTACCTGCTTTTTGTTAGTAGAGAGCAAAATAATTGATCTTTAATATGCTGATCCTATATCCAACAATCTTGTACAATTCACTTATTTCTAATATTTCTTTTGAATTTTTAATGTACACAACTATGCCACTTGAAAATAGTCAAACTTTTATTTCTGCTTCTCTATGCACATACATGTTCACATATCATAATGTAACAGAAATCTAAAATGTCACCTACCACAGAGAGATAGAGTTAAAGTGTCATCAAAGCAGATAGTGTTGATTATTCGTTGATATATCTATATGCCCGGCAAAAGAAATAATAAAGGCCATCTTTTATATGTCAGGATGCTGATGTGGTGAGCCCTGGTATTTAAATGGTATCCAGGCCACATAAAAAATATTTGATAAAAGACATAAGAAAGCCTTTTAAAAATTATCTAATTGCAGATGTATTAAAGCAGACTTCTCTTAATTGTAACATAAATACTTGGCAATATGAGAACAGAAATCAGACATCGGTGTTTTTCAGTAATACTTAAGGACAAATTAAAGTTGACACCAGAAGGATGATTACTACTTGAACACCTATAAGTTGAAAACAGGAAAAACATTTCTAGCTTTCCATGGCTTTTACATAATAATCCTTCCTAAGGCCTATGACATATAAAAACAATAGTCTCTACCAAATTTATGATATCTATATCTACATAGGCAGTTTGTGCAGATTTTTCCATATCCTACGCAGAGCACCTTTTACCTCTTTGTTCCTCAAGCTGTAGATCATGGGATTCAGCATAGGTATTATCAACGTGTAAAAAGCAGAAGCAATTTTATCAGTATCAAAGGAATGACTGGATTTAGGCTGCACATACATGAAGAAAAGTGTCGCATACAATACAACGACCACTGTCAAGTGGGATCCACAGGTGGAGAAGGCCTTGTGCCTGCCCTCTGCAGAGTTCATCTTGAGGATGGCCAGAAGGATCAGGGCGTAGGAGACCAGCACTATCAGAAGAGATGATACCAAATTAAACGCTGAAAAGATCAGTATTATCAACTCAATGTCACGCGTGCTTGAGCACAGCAAAGTTAACAAAGGAAGACTGTCACAGTAAAAATGTCTAATGACATTATGGTCACAGAAGGATGACATAAAAATCTTTATGGTGGTTGTAAGAGAAAGAAAGGCACTGTAGACATAGGGGACAGCTACCAGCACCCAGCACACCTTTTGTGACATAACAACTGTATAGAGCAGAGGGTGACAGATGGCCACATAGCGGTCATAGGCCATTGCTGACAGAATGAAAAGCTCACTGATGATGAACAAGATGAAGAAAGCTAGCTGTGTGGCACACCAAATATAGGGGATTGTGTTTTGATCAGTGATGATATTGACTAACATTTTGGGTCCCACAGCTGTTGAATAACCAAGATCAATGAAAGCCAGGTGTCTGAGGAAGAAGTACATGGGTGTCTGTAGCCTGGAGTCCATGTTGGTGAGGATGATCATGCCCAGGTTGCCCACCACTGAGATCACATAGATGATGAGGAAGAGCCCAAAGAAGGGAGCCTGCAGCTCAGGCTGGTCTGTGATTCTCATTAGGATGAATTCTGTTAGCACTGTTTGATTTGGTTGGTTCATCCAGGTCATTAGGAAAAATTGCTGTGGGAAGAACCATCACAAGAGTTATTGGCATTCAGGTGAGGACATCTGTTGACATCTTTAGTATGCAATGCCATTATGGTTAAGAGAAATCCAACTTTTAAATTTTTTTCATGTTTATTTATTTTGAGAGAGAGAGAAAGAGCGAGTGGGGGAAGGCAGAGAAGAGAGAGACAGAATCCCAAACAGGCTCCACACTGTCAACATGAAGCCCGATGTGGGGCTCAAACTCACTAATTATGAGATCATGACGTGAGTAGAAACCAAGAGTTAGGCACTGAACCAATTGAGCCACCCAGCCCCCAATTCAATTTTTTAAATTTAAATGTTATTTAAGTAAATATCCAGTTTCTTAATTTAAAATAAGAATCACCTCCATCATTGAACCTGGAACCAAATTTAGAAGTGTTACAATGAATCTGTGTATGGTAGCCTTTTGTTTGGTTTGGTTTGGTTTGGTTTGGTTTGGTTTGGTGCCACATACTTGCTGTGAATCTTGACATTATTTCTGACTTAAAATAGTTATAATTGGTTAAACACATCATACTTTAGAAAGAATTATAATACAAGGAGCAGCCCTCTGCTTCTTTACTTTGCAACTTTAGTCCAAACTTCCAAGGAAAACCATGATTAACTCATTTAATAGACTTTGATTTAAAACTGCATCTTTAATGATATTCCTGTTCCTTTACCCATTTGATTTTTTAAATTGTATTCTTATTCCACTATACTTTTATAAGTTTTCAGTATTGTTTAATGATTTTTTATGATGAAAGATAATAATTTAACTTGCAGAAGTCCCCTACATGCCCACTCTAATGCACATAATAAATGTTATTTTCCCTAGAATAGTGCATCTGAATAATTAGTACTTGTCTGGTTTTTTCAGTTTCTGATTTTTGCTATGTTGCACACCAGGGTAAGGCCTGCATCTATAAGTTATTCAATATAAGAAAGAAGTATTAGTAAACATTTCCACCATTGCTTTGACTTTAGCATTAATATCTCAGAAGTGATGGGTTTAATGCTGTAGTTATATTTTCTAGCACATCTTAAAACAAGTAAATGCCACTAAAATGTATTTGTTAATGTATGACTTAAAATCACCCAGTAAGTTGCTATAAATATAGATCCAAAAAAGAGGAATATCACGTCAAAATAGTGGCAGTGCTACCAGATAATAAAATTTATAAAGCTGGGTTATTGAGACAATATGGCATACAACAATGGAATAGAATAGGGAGGGATCTCAGAAAAAGACCTATGAGTGCATAGGACTATAACGTATGACAGAGTACCATGTTAAGACAAGCATGCATAAATGCCCTATTTAATAAAGTTGGGGAAAATGACTGTCCTTATAGAGGATGATGAAGTTGGATGTTTAGTTCATCCATATGAAAATCAAGGGCTTAATGTTATAAAACAATATTCAATTTTTATAACCTTAGAAACTAGAACCGCAGCTTGTCCTTAAGAAATTAAAAAATATAGAATAGAAATTCAAGCCTAATTTGGCAGCAGAGCTACTTCACAAAATTTGCTTTATCCAAAAATCTATTCAAATCGACAAAGTAGTCACAACAAAGCAATAACAAACATTCACTAGCAGCAACCAAACAAATGACAAAGTCTAAAGCCTTAAAGAAATTATACCCCAAGAAAAGACTATTTCATAGCAATTTGTACAGTTTGGCAAATCTCCTCCTCCCATCACTTAAATATTTAGGTGGCCCTTCTTCCCACCAGCCCTACCCAAGCACTGGCTACAAAGTAACAAATAAATTGAGCATCACACCCGACTCTTATCAGATGAAAGCAGAAACTCCAGAGCAGGATCAGGACCAGGGGGATGGACATGAAGCGCCAGGATGCCCTCTTATGCGAATGTAAACCCCAATCTCACCTCAATATTCTATAACATTTTGCCAATAGCCTCAACTAAAATAAATGGGTTGGTCAAATTTAGAACATTGCTCTCACATTCAAAGAAGGGAGGGAAAGAGAGAGCGAGGGAAGGAGAGCAAAAATGCTGACTCCCCCTTATGATGTTTATCATCTAGATTCTCAAAATAAATGTAGAAATAATAACAAAGATAAATGAGATTCCTTACCACATTCAAATAACATAGTAATAGTGGTAAAAATATACCATTACTCTGGAGAAACTAGTTATGAAAAGAGATTATTAGTACACATGATATAATGCACTGAGTCTGGTATTGGTGACTCTTATTAGTAATTTTTATCGGAGATAGTTATCAAAAATCATCACTGCAGCTAATCTAGTAATCATTCTAATCAGTGCCATCTATTCCTCTTAAGTGAGGACCGACTTCTTGTTCCCCCCTGTGGTTACTAATCTAACTGCTGTTAAAAGAATTTATAAGTGTTTCCTCCCTTTGAAACATTCCCTTGGGAGCTTGAATGCAATTCTTGATTATTCCCAAAGCGTCTGAGAATAGGAAATTATGCCACTGACTTTGCTAACTATCCAGAGTTACTTTGATTTCCCTATTGAGGACATGCTTTTTATATATAGAATTCTACCACCTTAATTGTTATTTTTATTGCATTCACTCAAATATCTGGACTTAAGTAGATTATTTTTTTTTATTTTCATGTTTATTCATCTACAAATTACATAAGCTCTCAGCGGTTTTCACAATGGCTTCTTCCATGTTTGATACCTGAGGATAAAGGCATAGCTATAGATACATGACCATAGTGTGTTAAAAGTTCAGAAGGAATAAAAATTATGAGTAAGTGTGTAAAGTTATTATATATTTTTTTTAACCTAAAGGACTAAATTGAATAAATGATACCCTAATTCCACATCCCACCTGCCTTCTCATCCTAATTTCCTATCCCTTACTTCAGTTTCCTTTCCTTTGCAAGTACCTCCTGTGCAAAAGTTGACATATGTTCTGAAAAAAGAAATGTAGCTCTAAAAGTGAGTATAGTATGTTTTAAAGTGCACACAACATGTTATAAAACTTTTTTGATACTTCAATGCTCTCACTCAATGATACATTTTTAAATTTTATTCATTTTCTACGTACACACCAATATTTTGCTGTCCTCTGTTTAATGAAATTGCTATAATCTGTCTCTACCCTCATTTACCATAAGTTTGTTCCCATAGTGACAGACAGTTAGTTACCAACCTTTGACTTCTCCATGGACCACCACAGTCAATAACTTTGTGTGTGTGGTCCCCACTGACCCAAGAAGGAACAATTCTGAAATATCTTCTTGGGCCTCGTTTTTGGGAGAAAATGAACACATTTAATTTACTTAAACCAGGATGGATCTATTTCAAGATTTCTTTTACTGTGCACGTTTCACCGTCATACACTGCACTTCAGACTGTGGACCTCCACCTTATGAATATGAACCACTTGTATGAAGTATGAATGGTGAAGGTTGCAACAAAGAATTAAAACAGATTTAACTTCATAGAGCTAAAACTAATTTATTTGATTTAACACCTTATTTTTTTAAAGAAATTCAAATATTAGTCTAGATTTGAAATAGAAAAATCCACTAAGTATAATCCATATCAACAAAGGAATTCAGAAATAACCGAGACAGAGACACCTTAATTTTAAGTTAATCTTACTATTTGAATGTCCACCACAGGGATAATGCCAATAAAATGGTTGTTGAGGTGACAAAACCCTGACACACATCTTGAGGTGGAGGTTGGGGGGGGCCTCCAAATCTTGCTTTCCCTCTGGGGCACCTGGCTAGCAGGTATCTCAGCCTCCTGACAGATAGGTGTGGAGAAGTGGCCAAGTTGTAGCCTGACTCACCTGTGGTAATGGAGCCTCTCCCCGTCTGCAGCCAATCTCTCCACCACTGTGCACTTGTTCTGAATGTTTCCCACAGCACCTTTTTGTTTCAGAAATTGTAATTCCCTGTGGTGGACCAGGCAATGTGGATAAAACGCTGAAAAATTGCACGAGACTAAGCCAACAAAGAGAAAAGTGATTACAATATAAGAGAAGATGCCACAGCTATTAAGGAAGTGTTTGCACCCATATTGACTATTCATTGATCTTGAGGCAAAAATTTAAGCATCCTTGTAAGTAAAATCCTTCCTTGGAAGTTTTCCAAACATAGAAGTTTTTTACTTATAGATTTCATAAGGGTTTTAAATTGACATCATATAATATTCTGAGTCTGTGTCTTCAATCAATCACACTGTGTTTGTGTAAACATTAATAATCATTATCACTCAGTAATCTATCAGTTCTTTGAAATATGAATTTTAGTGTTTTCTAAAATCATCACTTACCTCTTCTGACAACTATAGTTCAAGTTGGTTATGTGGCTTGATATTTTTTAAGAAGTAGGTATTCTGACATTTACATTATATACATTTGTATATTACATCATGTACATTTTCTGAGATGAGATAAGAGATTGTTATCAAAGAGGCTCCTGGGTGGCTTAGCCAGTTGAGTGTTGGACTTTGGCTCAGGTCACAATCTCATGGTTCATTTGAGGCCCACATCAGGCTCTGCTGACAGCTCAGAGCCTGGAGCCTGCTTCGGATTCTGTGTGTCCCCCTCTCCCTGGCCCTCCCCTGCTCATACTCTCTCTCTCAAAAATAAATAAACGTTAAAAAATTAAAAATAAAAAAAAATGTTAGTTGTAAAGGCTGTTTTGTCAACAAAATTTCTGCAACCTAGGTAATGATTGTTGTTTATAAAAGTACCTTTAGGTAAACATCTGATGAAGGTTTATGGGCTTTCAGGAAGATAGCATTAGCAGCTCAAACCAAGATTATCTAGAATGTAAGGGACAAGAACTCTCCATTGGAAGACATACAATTCCTCAATTTAACTCTTGAATTAAATAAAATCAGAACCATTTCAATTCCTGTTATCTATTAGATTTTTGACATAATAGAAAATATTTAATACTAGGCATATGTCTTGGGACATAAGTAAAATATTAAGGTGTACCATTGTGGCGATTCAAAACAAAATCAGCTGCTGTGAAAATAGTCCTTAAGTAAGTTTCTGAGTTTGAATTTATGAAATAGTATTTGCTATGCTGATTTGAGGAAGTTTGATGGTCTTTCTTGTTGTCATGGTCTTGAGAAGATTCGGGGTGTGCCACCCAAGATTTACACACTTGAGATACTCTCTGCCTACAACATCCCTACCTATGGAGTCAGGTCAATCTACTGCTTCTGTGTCAGCTGCAGAATGAGGGGCCCTGTGGTGCTGTTTGAAGTTGGATCTGTCCTAACATTACAAGTAGTCAGACCTTGACTTATGACTGTCTTGCATCTTCTCTCTCCCCTCACCATTAGGGGGATGTTATCGTCTCCTGAAACAAAACTCCAAAGAAGTGAAGTAGGGATAAGCTGGAAGCACAGGTGACTTAGCAGCTCACAGGATGAGCTTTAATCAATTAGAGATCAAAACTGACATAAATTTTCCCTATCTTCATCCATGGTAAACTGGTACTGGGCTGATGTGCCTGCTGGTTGGTTGATGATGTTGACTCAGCATTTCTGACAAACATGTACAAGTGATATGTGAGCTCCTGTGTATGTGAATGTGTTGTTTCAAGCCAGTGATTCAGTAGTGATTCCTCACAGTAGCACTAGGAAACTAATACGACTGAAATCATAGTTATTTTTAGAAAAAACTTATACATAAACCAAGTTAAAGGGTAGAAAACACTACAGTGTTCATTCTTGACTTTAATTTCTTAATAAATGCATAGGATTGGTAGAAGTGCAAGTGTGAGTTTAGCCCTTGTGCTCCAATTCTGTTCACCTAACTAGACTCAAAGAGAATGACTTTCTGACCCAAAATGTACTTCTCTGTTGTACGTATGCGGCTTGGTTCAGCAAATTTAGCCATAGGAACACACACACACACACACACACACACACACGCAAACATAAAATAAATTCTATATGTTATATTGTCTTATATATTTATAAATAATAAAACATAATATCTGAAAGGCTAATGCTATCAAGTCATTGCCAATTTTGTCTGTGGAGACTAGGAATATCCACCACCCAGTGTGACTTCCTGTTTTCAGCTAGCTATTCTACTTACTTAAAATGAACCTTAGGAATTAGGCTATGAAGCTGAGTGTGATGGGTCCTATATTGACTTATTTCTGACTTCCCTGAAAATGTCGTCAATCTACTTTATTTCAAGGCATTGTCTTACCTCACAACCCATGCCCCTTCTTCCTCACAACATTGTTAGCAGATTTTGCATGCAAAGGCAGAGATAGGGCACAGAATAACTATTAATTTGTATTTATTTATTTATTTATTTATTTATTTATTGGCCATGGCGTTCTTGAGGCTTGGTGTCACTAGAAGGACAATGAATTTTTTTGGGTGCCTAGGTGGCTCAGTTGGTTAAGCGTCCAACCTTGGCTCTGGTCATGACCTCACAGTTTGTGAATTCAAGCCCCACATCGTGGATCCTGCTTCATAATCTTGCATTTTCTTCTCTCTCTGCCCCTCCCTAGCTTGCACTCTCTCCCTCTCAAAATTAAATAAACATTAAAATTTTGTTAAAAATAAAAGGATAATGACTTTTTTCTTTCTTTTTTTTCTTTTTGGTTGTCTACTGATATTTTACTCCAAAACACTAAATAATAATTTTGAAAGAAGTACTATTTGCTGTTATGTTTTTTAACACTGATGATTAATTCTTCACAACAGTGTTTGCTAAGGGAATATGATATGCAGTAGTTTAATTTTATTAATTTTATATCATACCAAGATAAATACCAACATTTTGTTTTGTGTACATGCACCAAATGAGAGGGCTAAAAGAATGGAATCCCGTTTCATATATTTTCTTTTGTTTTGCCACATGTCCGACTTCCATGTCTATCTAAGCATTTTTCTTTAGTTTTTTTTTTATCCTAAAGGTTTTTTTTTCCCCCTGTGATATAAATTTATGTCGTGCAGGATAAAAATGGATTCAAAAGCTTCAGAAGTTGAAAGATAAAATACTGCAAAAAGTAAAAATAAAACTTTTAATTGTTAAACATATGAAAACATATGTATGGAGAGGAAGACAATCTGACGATTTACCACCTTCCAGGAAATGGTTTTCACATACCTTCTCCACCTTTCAGATATTCTATTCTTTGATTAGAAATTATAAAAGCCCAGTAGCAAGTTGTGTCCTACTATAAAATGTATTTATTTCAAAATTCCTGTGTTCTACTACTACACTTGAATAAGTGTACTTTCTTTCATCAATTAATACATCTTAGCATTAGGGGAAGTTCAGTATTTCGGGTTGGGAGTAGAAATCTTAAGATTTCCTCATTGAGGGCACCCTCCTACACTGTTGGTGGGAATGCAAAATGGTACAACCCCTCTGGAAAACAGTGTGGACTTTCCTCGAAAAATTAACAACAGAACTCCCCTATGACCCAGCAGTAGCACTCTAGGAATTTACACAAGGGACACAGGAGTGCTAATGCATAGGGGCACATGTATCCCAATGTTCATAGCTGCACTCTCAACAATAGCCAGATCATGGAAAGAACCTAAGTGCCCATCAACTTATGAGTGTATGAAGAAGATATAGTATATTTATACAATGGCAATGAGAAATAATGAAATCTGACCATGTGTAGCAACATGGATGGAACCAAAGGACGTTATGCTGAGAGAAATAAGTCAGGCAGAGAAGGACAGATACCATATGTTTGCACATATAGGTGGACTAGGAGGAAGCTAATGGAGGACCATGAGGGAGAAGAAGGGGAAAAATAGTTGGAGACAGAGAGGGAGGCAAACCATGAAGGACTCTTGAATGCTGAGAACAAACTGAGGGGTGATGGGGGTGGGGGAGAGGGGAAGGGATGGGCATGGGGGAGGGCACTTGTTGGGATGAGCACTGGGTGTATATGGAAACCAACTTGGCAATAAACTATTTAAGAAACAAAATAGATTTCCCCATTGAAAGCCAAGGAATTTTAAACTATTTATTGTTTCTGCACTTAGCAGATATCAGCTTTTCAGGAGCAAATAAAAACCCTTAAAAGAAGACACCTGTAATTTTAAATTTACATGAATTTGAAAGACTGACATAGTTTATTTGGGAATCTCTTCAATGCGTCCTTCACATCCTTGTTCCTTAGGCTGTAAATGAGGGGATTCAGCATTGGTATCACCAGGGTGTAGAAGACAGAGGCCATTTTATCAGTATCCAATGAGTGGTTGGTCTTTGGTTGCAAATACATGAAGAGAAGAGTCCCGTAGAACACAGTGACAGCCAGCATGTGAGAGGCACAGGTGGAAAAGGCTTTTCGTCGGCCCTCTGAGGAACGTATCCTCAAAATGGCAAGGACAATGTTAAAATAGGATATTAGAACAATAACCATAGAGAAAAGCAAATTGATCCCTG